GTGTGTGTGTGTGTGTGTGTGTGTGTGTGTGTGTGTGTGTGTGTGTGTGACCACTTGGTTGTGCTAAGGAATGCTGGGGTCACACAGTTTCAAAGCAGCACTGAATACTTTGTTGGTTGCCAGGCATAGATGCTTTTGTCCTGCCTGGCTTGGTTGGCAGTCTAGGAGGATGGGCAGGAGCTGTCACAGCAACTTTGTCACCCTGTGTGTATACACTGCAGTCTGCTGGTCCCACCGTCTGCTTTGGGGAGACTTGTTTCTTTCTTCTCTTTCTTTCTTTCTTTCTTTCTTTCTTTCTTTCTTTCTTTCTTTCTTTCCTTCCTTCCTTCCTTTCTTCCTTCCTTCTTCCTTCCTTCTTTCTTTCCTTCCTTCCTTCTTCCTTCCTTCTTTCTTTCTTTCCTTCCTTCCTTTTCTCAGCTTGTCGAAAAGTGCCAGTACTGCCTGTAGTAGTTCAGTGGCAAAAGGAAAACTCACAAACAGATTTAGGGATTAGAACGTGATATTTACTATTGTTATCGAATGTGTAGGTATAGATAGTATTTTATTTTGTTATTTATATACTCACTTATTTTGCATTTATTCATTCATCTTATTCTTTATTGGACAGAATTAAACCCAGTGCTTTATACAGTCTGTGCTTGTACTTTGCCAAGGAATTAAATCCCCGGTCCTATGTGGTCATTCATTCACTCATTTATTTATTTATTTTGATGCCAACTCATGCATTCCATGAGCACTCTACCATAAATCTACATACTCCAGCCTCCCTCCCATGTGGTATTTAAAAGCTAGTTTTGGATTTGGCTAAGTGCAGAAGTTTTGTTGAGTTTGGGTCTGAAGGTTCAGTTTCAGTCTTCAAACAACATTATTTGGCTAGGCTTGAGTTCTGAAACTTCTTTAGAGATAGATCGAGTGTGAAGTTAGGGTGACATCAGGCCAGAATGCACGCCTGAGAGCAGTCTCTGGAGCACAGGGCAACTTGCCTGAGCTGTCACTGTGAAACGGTGAGCCCGAGTCTTCTGATTTTGAGACCCTGGCTTTGGGTCAGCCTTTGTTTATAAAGAAAACTGAGCTCAGGGGAAGAGTCACCGTTTTCCTAAACAGGTTTGCCCCTGTCTACGTAGTAAAAGAAATGCTTGGCACAGGAGACAAAGTGAGGACTTCTCAGTATTGATGGCTGCCTGATCGAGGGAGAATGCATGTACAGTTTTTCTGCTTCCTGTGAAGTGACACATTTAAGGCCCCTGTAGCTCCAAGATCAGAGCAGAGAACATCCCCTGTCACCCACGTGTGGGTGGGCAGTGACCACTGATGGGTCTGCATCACCCCTGGGGCTATGGGCTTGGTGGAGCAGCAGAGCATTACAGCCTGGGAAGAGGCCCTGTGTTTCTGCAGCCACTGCTGCCGAAGAGAGCCTGTTTCCTCTTGCCACGTCTAGGCTGAAATCAGAAACCACAACTACTCCAGGATAGAGCAGGCCCCAGCTGTGTGTAGTGTGTCATAGGGACAGCTGACGAGAATGACAAACCTCAGAGCTCACCTTGTTTCTCCATGGTCCCTTCAGCCTAGAAATCGTAGAGAGAATGAACAGACAGATGGGTGAGGATGCTTTTATCTTGGGGCATAGAAACTTTGGATAGACAGTTTTCTCCTCCCATCCAAGAAGGAAACAGAAGCCAAATTACCCTGTCTTTTTATCAGAGCTGACATCTGAGAACTTTAGAGACAGGCTTTGTCTCCATCTGCTCCAGTTCTGTGTGACCCAGCAAGGCAATTGGGTTATTTACCACTTTTTATTTCATCCCAGTCAATTATTCCTGGAATAATTGTCTCAACAATAAATAAATCAGCACTGGCCGTGGGAAGTCACAGGATTTGGACTGTCCTGTATCCTTGTGTCCTTCCTCAGTCTGGGTCTATGACCTCAGTTTATCATGACTTGTCGCTTTTAGAATCCACGAGTCCCGTTGTTGAATTTCGCATTGTTGAAATGGAGGCACAAGCTGCTGTCCTCTCTAACCATTCCATGCTAATAGCCTATAAAGCCACACACAAGGACACATGTGCTCCTGAACAGAAACAGTTGGACTTTGGTACCAGGGAAAAGCCATTTTATTTCAAATTAGAGTTCCTAACACCCCATGACTTTCCTCTCTCTGTAATCTGGCTTCCACCAGGACTTTCCCAGTACCGTAGGTGGGAAGACCCCATGATTGCTTATGAACAGCATTTGGTGCATCAAGGAACCCTCCCACAGTGCTTCACTCTTGCGTTTAGAACTCTCCCTCCAGCTCCTGCTTCCCCTGTAGCTCCAGGATCCTCATGAGAGACTCTTCCTTCAGCCCATCCATCTGCTGACTTTAACTATTAATAAAAGTCATCTCATCTACATATGATAGGATATGACCCAGGATAGGCAGGGCCACATAGAGAGTCCCCTATCTTATTTTTTAAAAAGTGTGCCCCCTGTCCTGGGGAGCTTCCCACTTACACCCTTCCCTCAGTGTCCATGGGGATTATGACCATGACTTTCCAACCCAAAGATACCAAGATCCATGAGTATACAAATACCTTACAAGAAATCTTGTAGTATTTGCTTATAACCTGTGCATGTCTCCATCTCTATATGACTTACAATACTTAGTGCGATGTCCGTGCTACACGAATAGCTGTAGTCTTGTGTTATTTAGACAAGTATGACAAGAAAAATGTCTGTTCGTTCAGCGCAGTTTTTAAAAGATTTGTTGCCTGTGCTATTTTTCTGTTTCTATAACAAAAAGAAATGACTAAAGCAATTTAGAAAAGAAACTATTCAATCTGGGGGCTTATGGTTCTGGAAGGACAGAGCCCAAGACCATCATGGTAGGGGATATGGAAGCAGGCCCACAGGCCTGGCATTGGAGCCGTAGCTGAGAGCTCACATCTTCATCCATAAGCACAAGGCAGTGAGTGATGACTGGAAATGGTGTGGACTTTTGAAACCTCAAAGCCCATCTTAGTGACACACTTCCTCTAACAAATCCATCCCTCCTCATCCTTCCTAAACAGTCCCAGCAACTGTGGACCATACCAATCACTCAAATGTGTGAGCCTTTAGCATCCATTCTCATTCAAACCTCCCTGTAGTATGTATTTATGTTTATTTTGTGTATACAGATGTTTCCCTTCATGTCCATCTATGCACCACGTGTCTAAGTGCCTTCAAGGCCAGTAAAGAGTGCTGGCTCCTCTAGAACTAGTTACCAATCGTTATGGACCACCATGTAGGTGCTGGGAGCCCCACCCGAGTCCTCTGAAAGAGCAACAAGCTAAAAGAGCTTTTAGCCACAGAACCACTTCTCTAGCCCTCCAGGTTTTTGGTTTTGTTCTTTTGTTTTTTGAAATAGTTTGAATCCACAGTTGAATTTGTGGATGTGGAAACTGTAGACAGAGAAACAACTATGTATTATTTTTAGTTCAAACATCTAAATAGCTAGGAACAGAAATCAACTCAGTCTAGTGTAGACAAAAATGTGGAGCAACTCCATGAACGTGAAAAAAACTTACTGACTTCAGGCACAGAGTCTGCACCAGGCTTCCCTAGGGCTCTGGCCAGGTAGCATTCCTTTTGACTCAGAGGTTCTGATAGAAACTCAAATCTTGAGAACACAGTGTGAGATGAATTAAGATTCACATTTATGAACGTTCATCCTAGACTTCCTTGTTATGGTGAAAATAGATAGAAACAATGATTAGTCAGTGGTAGTTGATTTGAACAATCAAGTAGGGGGCTGGAGAGATGGATCAGTGGTTAAGGGCCCTTGCTCCCATTGCAAAGGACAGAGTTTAGCTCTTAGTGCCCACATCCAATGGCTCACAGCCACCTGTAACTCTAGGAGATCTGATGTTATCTAGCCTCTAAGGTACATGTGTGTGTGTGCATGTGTGGATACCCGCACCTGCAGGAGCGCACGCACACACAAACACACACAGACACACTCATACACACATATACACACAAACAAACATCTTTAAAAAAAGTTGAGTATTTTCATTTTTTTTTAAAGTTTTCCAAAATAGCTCTTCCATTTTCAGTCACTACCAGGCCAGTCTAGCTGCATCCTTATCAGGTAGGATTCTTTGCTTACTCCTCACCATTGATTTTTGAGCGTTCTGGACATATTCTAGCTACGACTCCCTGTTTGGATATCTGGTTTTAAATGCTTTCTCCCAACCTGCAGCTTGACTTTTCACCCTCTTCATCTGGTGACAGAGTGAAAAGTTTTCAATTATGTATGACTAAGCAAATTTACCTTTTCTAATGACTGAGCATGTGTGCTAGGTGGGTGTCCTGCCTCTGAGCTGTGTCCCTGGCCCTCAGGATTTACTCATGGGGAGCATGTCTCTGATGATAAGTCTGGGAACTCTGCCTCCTAGATTTAGATCTGGAGGCTTTCCTCTCGTGCATTTTTGCGGTTCATTTTGAGTTACTGTTCATAATTACGTGCCTTTCAGATCTGTATATGTATGCAGTCCTTGTGTGTTGCCTGGGGATCCTCAGCGTTCTGCTCTTCACCCTGGTCATTGCCTGCCAGTCTGTGCTTCACAAGAGGAAATCTAGAGGTGAGAGAACAGATAAGGTCATGTCTGGGATGGAAAGCCACCCACCCACACACAGGCGGATGGTTTTGGGCAAAGTATCACCTTGGTGGGAAGGCATGCTGGGCCAGCAGTTGTTTGTCTGGAGCCAGAAAAGTGGGAAGACTCGCTTCTCATAGGTGTTGCCGACCACTGTCACGCCAGCTGAACTCCCTTTCCTCACATTTCTTCAGTCCTGGGGCGTTGGGTTCCTTGGCTCCTATCATGTTCTTCATCCTGAGGAAGCTGTGGCTAGAGCAGCCTGGAGTTGCATTTTGGCTCTCCCTCTTAAGAATGAGTTTTGGGACTAAGTTCTCAAACCAAGGGGCTTGCAGGTGTCTTCTTGGCAGGTAAGTGGGACCTCAAATGTCACCCTCTGTTCTTTTCCTGTCTGGTACCTCATCGTTTCTTGTCAGAGTCCCTAATTCCCTGATTTCCTTAGTCCTCTCTCTTCCTCTGCTTTCTCTCTCAGGCATTGCAGTCCATGACTTCTATCTCCCTAGGAACACTGCCCATTCTAACGCCAGTCCGTATCTCTTACTGGGGTCAATTTCCCAAGTCGAGAAGTTCTAAGAATCTACCCAGCTGCCTGGCTCTGTTCTGTTCTCCAAAGATAGCTCAATGGACTTTCTTCCAGGGTGTTGGATGCCTCTTCATGGCTTGCTTGAGCTTCCCTTTGTTTAAAGCCCTCCTGAGTATTCTCATGTACACCCTCCCCCAGAATCTCCAAAAGCAGTTGGGGGACACAATTGCTCTCAAAGATGACCCAGGTTCAATGACACCTCCTCACTGAACAGCCAAGGATCCAGCCTCTGTCCCTCTCCTTCTTCACGGAGACTTGGGGGACAAGAGTGCACCTGTCTGAGAGCTGTGAAAGAAGAGACAGTCAAATCCGTGAGCACACTTATGGTGACATGGGAGTAAGACACATCACTGTCATTATTAGGCTAACGTTGTGGATCTAGGAAGAGTTAGCTTTTGTTCATGTTCATAGGAACCTTTAAACTGGGAAACTGAATGACAGCTACAAAGGGGCCACTCCCCAGGGGTGTGGGCGAGACTGAGGAAACCAGGAAGGGAGGATGCTCATCCAGGGACTGACACCCGTGGAGAACTCAAGGAGTGAGGAGGAAAGGTTCCATAAGAGCTGTTGTTGTCATGGGCTTAGCAGGTAAGAGCACTGGCTGTTCTTCCAGAGAACCTGGGTTCAGTGCTCACCACCAACATGACGGCTTACAATCATCATTAACTCTGCTCCTGGGGAATCTGACACCCTCTTAGGGCCTCTTCCAGCACCAGGTATGAACATGGTGTACAGGTATATGTGCAGGCAAAACACTTACATATGAAATAAAATAAAGAGGAACTGCCGTTGTGGGAGAGATGGCACAGAAGAGCAGTTCAGCCAGTGTCCAGCTGGGGCAACAGGAGGGCTCAAGGATCCTGCATACAAAGCCTCCCGTCTCCAGCACAGGAGTCCCCGGATGTTTCTTCCTCTTGAAGTTAAACCGAAGCCAGCAAGTGTGGAAGACAAAAGGGCCATCAGCAGTTTCTAGGGCCTGGACACAGTTAATAGGAAGCAGAGACTAGCACATGCAGCCCTGGAAATGGAGCCAGGGGTACAGGCCAGACTTTTCTCCACTAGAGCCCAGTGCTTCCCTCCAGCCTTGTGTTTCACTGTGCCGTTGCCCTTGGGTACCTTCCTCCGTGGCATCTGCCACCCTTTCACGATATCCCAGCATTTCCCTAGTTCACAGACCTCAGCTGCTTCTCTGAGCTTGTGGCAAATGTTGCCCATGGGTGTTGGCCCTCTGCCTCCCTTCCAAGAGAACTCTGTGTGAGGCAGAGACCATGCATGTGACAGATCCTCCTTGGAATTTGGCTCATGACAGATGCTCCACAAATGATGAACAAATAGATTTGCTTCCCAGCTGCTCTGCTCCCAGCTGTTGGAGCTTAAAAGACATTAGCAGTCTCCAGGCTGGGTGTGTGCTAAGGGCAGCCCCAAAGGCCAGACTGGAGCTGCAGACTCCATGGGACTTGAGGCAGGACCCAGGAATTAAAGATATGCAAAGACGGGCACACTGGACACAGGGGCATGTGGCATCTTCCTCCAGGCCTCCCAGAGAGACTTCAAGGAATGGAGATTATAGCAGGCTCGTCACCCTCCCCTGCCAGGATGGGCTGCAGGGTGCTTGTGCTCAGCATCTAAAGCCCAACCCAGCTGTCAAGATCATTGTCTGAGCACCTGTTATGGACCGGGCATATGGCTCTACTTCTCAACGTCCTGTGTAGCTTGCACGGTTCCCACGAAACAGTGCATGTTAACATCCCTAAACACAGGCGAGGCAAGGGCTCTAGCTGTATCCCAAACGTCCTGGTTTTCTATTCTAGCAAACCCTCAGACATCTGCTGGTGATCTCTGTGAAGGAACTTTCCTCCAGCTTCCCATGAGGTTGTTGAGTTGATGAGGTTCTTCCAGAGCAGATCCATCTGGCTTCTGTGGTCCCGGGGCACATCTTTTGAGATGTCTGAGTTTCAGAGAGGGCAATAACCTTTTACTGGTGACTCTTAAAGGCTGCTTAGAATGTGCCTGAAGACATGGTGTTATGGTTTGAGCATAAGATGACCCCACCACAGGCTCACGTGTTTGAGGTTGGGTCCCAAGCTGATGGGACTATTTTGGGTGGTCCTGGGAACATCACAAGGTGGCACATAGCTGGAGACAGTAAATCACTAGGATTGGGTTCTTTGGGTTTTCTTGTCACTTGTTCTGTTTTGTTCTCTACTCTTTGTCCACCAAGAGCTAATGCGCAGTCCCAGTCAATTGCTGTCCCTTCCATGGTGTTCTGCCTGAGCACACGAGCCAAACATCTATGGGCTGGGCTTCTGCAGGCTAGGAGCAAGGAACTCCCCTCTCCCATTTTAAGTGTTCTTCCAGCTGTTTTGGTCACAGCTACATAAAAGTCAATATACACTTGACATATATGTGACAGAAACAAGTATGGATGGATGCAGATAGACTCTAAAATCTGGGAGTAGGACTGTTCATGAGCCTCAACTTATGAGTTTCTAGGAAAGCACAAAACAAAGCACACACATTTGTTCTTCATGCCCTCATAGCATTATATATTAAATGGAGCAAAATCATGCTTACAGACCCTATACTTACATTAAACAAGGTTGGGTCCTAGGTTCTTATCAATGGGTTTCTTCCTCCTCAATGTGAACTCCAGAGAGTCATTGAACTGGAACAGCTCATTTGTGGACTGTATTATTAACACTTGTCCAGTGTCCCTGTCCTCTGCCTGCCAGGTATAATGCTCATCAGTACCACAGATGAAATTATCCCCCGAGAAATCCAAATTGTCCCCAGTTATTAAATTCCCTTTGAATATCAAAGCCATCGAGCAGTGTATTTCCAGTTTTGCCTACTCCGAGCCTGTTCGTGTTTAGGCTTTTCCCCTCAGAGTGCTTGGAATTTTTGTGTACATGTTAAAGGAAGCCAGCCCCTCCTGTAGGTGTCACAGAGCACTGAGGTTTGTAGGCCATTTCTACCCAACGGTGGTTCTTGGTTCTTGGTTCCTGCAGCAACAACTGGTCAGAGAAACATCAGAGTAGATGACCCAGTCCTAAGGACCCTGAAATACCCTTGGTTCTTCCAAAGCCAAAAGCAGCAGGCCAGCTTTCTTGGCTGCTGTTCTGCCTTAGCCATAGAGGCTATGTTTCCAGGACGCCCAGCTGGTCTATGAGCAAAGCTAATTGTACCCATGTGTTCCAGCCCAGCACAAGCCTACTCCACTTGGCTTCCAGCATAAATCGCTGTCCCTGCTCTGTTAGTGCCTGCAATGCCCAGTCTCGTCCTGGGACTATTTCAGCTGAGTCTCTCCTGGAGAGTACCAGCACTGGGGTCTAGGACTGAACTCTGAATTCTGGGGGTTTCTCGGGACACTGGTTTCCAAGGCTACTGCTTTTCAGGAGCCCATCAACTCATGCTGGTCCAGGGATCTCCAATGATCTCCCATCCCTCTCTGCCTGAGCTTCCAAATGGAGGTGATTTGGCAATGAGCTACTGTGAGGTGTTTGTAAGGCACCTTGGGACCAGGCAGGAATTGGGGTGGCCTTTTTTTTTTTTTTTTTACCAATACTCTTCACTTTGAGCTCTGATTTCTTCCCACTTTGCAGTCTGTCTTCTAACACCAGAGACTGGACAGTCCAAGGCTCATTACAACCTATTGCTCCCCTGTCCATCTTGCTGTGAGAAAGAATCAAAGGGCTTATGGACTTTTCCTCCAGAAGCACAAGGAAGAGGGAACTAGGGACTGTGTCCCACTCACAGCCAGATTGAGGGGGGAGAAGAGAGCACAAAGGACAGAATGGGGAGCTGGGGTGACAGAGAACATAAGGATGACCTGAGGGGGCCAAAGGGCTCAGCAGCCTGGAGTTAGAGACACCTGGTAGCCCCAAGGTCAACATCATCCTTTGTCCTGTGACAGAAAGCCCCACAGGCTGTGCTGGGTCCTACTTTGCAGGCCCACCGAGTCTGGTGGGAAAGAGGCCATCTTTCCTTTGTGGGGCTTATGGGTCCCCTTGTTGGCTCTCATTCTGGACTTAAAGCCTAGACTCAAGTTATTTTATCTACAAATCAGAAACTACAAAGAAATTATAGTTGGGCCACCAAATCCCCAGACTGCAAAGCGGGGGATAGGTGGGGGCGGCGGTATTTAGCTTACCTTTCAGGACTGTGGGAGTCCTAGTCCCAGGTATGGGCAGAACAGGCATCCTGTTAGCCAGCCTTCCGTGACTAAAGAATCCTGGAGGAAGTCAGCTTAGAGGAGGAAAGGTTTATTGTGGCTCATGGGTTCAGAGGTTTTGCTTTATGATCACTTGGCCCCATTGCTTTGGCCCTCAGAGCAGGAAGCATGCAATGAACAAAGCACCTCATCTCATGGTGTCATAGAAGCAGAAAGGGGGAAGGGAGCCCA